CTCATGGTATCCATGAGCCAAGTCAGGTCAAGAGTCCCAAGGTTGCAGATCTTGAGCACAAGGCCAAGGTTCTCTCTCGGCATTCGGTAGCAAGGCTGAATCTCAAGTTGGCCTGTCAACGACCGCCGAAAGAGTTCATTTTCGCTGAGGCTCAGGACAATGAACCTCCCACTTTAAAGCTTGAGTAGAACCGCAGGACAGCTGATAGAGTCAAGGACAAGGTACACTGGGAGGTCAAGGATGAGTGCTGGGTGCAAGACGCATGATAACCATGAGCCAAGTCAGGTCAAGACTCCTCCCAAGGTTGCAGCTCTTCAACACAAGGCCAAGGATTTTTCTCGGCTTTCGGCAGCAAGGCTGAGTCTCAAGTTGGCCTGTCAACGACCGCGGAAAGAGTTCATGTTCGCTGAGGCTCAGGACACTTCACAGGCAGTGTGACAAGGTTGAACAGTTCAAAGGCGCATGTGTGACATGTATCTACTACCAACAATGAACCTCCCACTTTAAAGCTTCAGTAGAACCGCAGGTCCAATTCAAGCTTTGGGCAGCACGTCCGCATCTCAAGCCCCTCAAGCAACAACATCCTGTTGTGAATCTTTCTTGGCTAACGGCACTTCTCCTGGCAGTGTTAACAAGTTTGAACTGTTCCGTTGCGGAACATGCACCCACAGAATCCCACAGCATCGAATCTGTTTGTTGCTTGAATCAAAGACCAGTGTCCCACCAAAGACCACCAAGACCAGAGACGTGTGCTGGGGGGTAGGACATACGGGCTTCCAGAACCAAGTTGGGCCAAGAGTCCCAAAGTTGGTCTTTAACGTAGGGCCAAGTTTCTGTTGTTTTCTGCACCTGACTTGCAATCCAAATAAAGAGCTGTGTTGGCAATTGTTTGAGCCTGGACTTTTTGTCGGCACGATAAGTGTGTTTAAAAGGGGGGAAGTGGGCATTTAAGCGCTTAAGCACACAAGAGCAGATGCCGTGTTGCAGCTTTCTATCTTATAATATGCTTCTCTACTTATCAGATTTCCGTTTGTGCCTAGCTGTCGGCACTTGGACTGTTACCTGGTCACTAACTAGTCTGTTGTTGGAGGATTTTTGTCGCATACATTTGGAGCTCAAAGATTTGCAGCGGCGAAGTTTCGAAACTCCCTTCATCATTTGCTTCGGACAAGCCTGAAATCGCAAGAATTCCCTTGCAAGAAGGAGGAGAGGGCTGGACCCCACTGCAAACAGTTGTGAGGACAAAGTACACACCCATGACCACCCAAACTCCACCCTGAAAGGGCCCAAAGGGGATGGTGCATGAGAAACCTGACGTTCGATTGGTTCGAAGCCAGTTTTGTCAAACCACTTCGACTAGGCTGACCCATCCTATTGAGAAATCTTAGGCCTCTTGCAGTCCTCATTTTCGAGAATGCGAAGCCCGAAATTGAATACTGTTTTCTCCAGAAAATCGAGGCCACGTTCAACGCCGTTCTTGAGAAACTTGAGGCTTCCGCTTTCTCACTCAAAGAGCTTCGGCTATGCCAGCTTCCTCAACCAACCTATATTTTGGCATTTGGGGCGCTGAACTGCCACTTGAACAACTTGAGGCCTATTCCTTGCTTGTCTGTCTCAACCAGCCTGTGTTTTGCTGCAGTAGAGGCTGACTTGTGACCTACCGCTTCATTCGGATGCAGGTGCGCATGGGTGATACCTTCAGTTCTTGTAGCGATGGAGATTCCTAAGCATGTGCAAGTGGTACAAAAGATTCCTCCCAGTCTGATGCGATTTGAGAGTGATGCTGGTCAACAAGCGATTCCTTGTGGGCCCAAGTCTCTTGGGCTGAGATAGAAGCGCCCCAGATGGCAAGATTGCCGAACTTCAGCACTGGTGGTAAAGAAGTCCCGTCGGCCACAGACCATTCGACAGATTCTCACGATTTGCGCTTCAAACTGGATGGCCATTGCCATACAATTCATAGAGCTTCACTTAGAATAACTCACCACCGACGCTCTACTGGGGATAGCCCGTATAGACTCATATTCCTCAGAAGCTGCAAAAGCCTATTCCGATTCTTTTTCAGAGAGCTAGTTGTAGTTGTCGTGGCTCATTTGTGTATTTTGTCATCTCCAGGCATGACAGCACTTGTTTTCCGGCTTCAGTATGCTTCAGCCATTCCATGTCGCCAGCAAACTTTCAGAGACGTTTGGTAGCATCGCGGAAACATCTCTCTTTCCAGCAGGTTGCAGTTCTCTTTTCTGTATCTTGCTCATCTACAAAAAATGGCCGTCTCCCTTTTCTTGGGCATCTTGGCACCTCTTGGCACCTTCTTACTTCGAACCGCGCACTTTTCTACCGCGGCTCGCTGTGGCCAGGCCGCCAAGCTTGGCAGGTACCCCTGCAGGTTGCGGCAAGCCGTGCTGACGGCCAGCAAGTTGGGAGACCCACAGGTTCAAGGGCCACATTGATGTCTTCGGTCTATGTCCAGCTGCAGAAGGACGCGAGATTCCTTATGTGCCCAAATTGCATAGGCCGAGATAGAAACACGCTGTGTGGGGAGTCAGCAAAGGCTACATATCTACACAAATATTGTTTGTGTCTATAGAATCAACCATAGCATTAGCATGTCCATTCTAAGAATTCTGGAAACGATTTGCTGAAGCAAGCAGAAGTCCATTGCCATCAAATTCATTCAGCTTCGCTCAGAATACCTCAGCACTCAAGAAAGAAAGAAACTGCTAGGAAGATGAGAGAACAATGTCTTCAACAAATCACGCGAGACACGTCAGCTTGATTGAACAAACATCACCAAACCTGTTGTAGTCTCACTTCAAGAACGACAATACTGGGTATCCGAATGGCCCATAACTTCATTTAACTCTGGCCCCTCCCATAATACTGGGTATCCGTATGGCCCATAATCTCATTTACGCCTGGCCCCTCCCACTTTAGCGTTGAAAAATCCAATAGTGCAGTGAGTGTTCAGTCAGGAATCTCAAAAACAAACTAGCAATGCCTGCCACAATTTTAGTAACCAATGACTGGGCTGCATCGCGAATTGTGACATTTCTGACTTAGGTTTGCGACCTCGGGAAAGTCCCAGCCGCACAAACTTACCTCAGAACAGGTTCACGCTTGGTCGACTTACCGTACTAGACATCACTCGACTCGACCGGAAACATTTGTGTACAGTCAATGATATTCTTCACGGAGAGCATCATTACCGCCCCATTTCCGTTCCTTTTTGTACCTCTCAACCGAGGGGCACCGTGGGGCATCATCCAAGCTTTGGGCCCACTGCATCTGTCAACAAACAAGTATCTTTTCATGTGTCAATGTTATGATATCATTGTGGTTACCTAATATCCTTGCGTACAAATCAAACTGAAGGTGGTTTGATTCACGTTGATTCTGGTGTTAGATTCTACAGCCAGTCCTTAATGCTAAACACAATGTTTCTGACTACAAACAACTAGCTATATAGTAGTCACACAAGTGTTTCCTTTTGGCCTTCCATCATATTCTGTTTCACTGTTTTAGCTGTGTACATTCATGGCATGTCTCCGTTAAAGCCACAACGGGCAGCCTCTCAGAGCACATCCAAACTCAAAACATGTCGCCATTCGCTTCTGTTTGTCTTCTGTTGGTGGGACTCTGTTTGTGGTTGGGTTCTTGTCTTACGCAGTCATGTTGTTTGTGCTAGACCTCGAGCATTGAGCATGGGAAAGACACACACACACACTGGTTTTCCATGT